CATTAAACAAAACAGAAAAAAGTGTTTGCTTCCTGTTATTAATTTTTAACACTCCTCCCTCAAATTTTACTGTCCATGGTTGATAATATAGATCCACATGGGTCCCAGGCTCTTCCTGGGTCTAACGAGATCCCTTGTGCTCCATTCATAGGGTTTATGTTGAAAAGGATGGAGAAGATCTTGCCCTCAGCCTTTGAACACATATTGCATGAATTGCACACAGGGCTTTTGCTCACATCCATCAGCCAGAACTAGTTACATATTACAATATGTAATATTACATGTTACAAATATATTACAAGCAGAACTAGTTACACATTACAATACCATATCTACCTATAAGGAAGTGATTCTCTGGCCACAAAAGTAGGAGAGGTGAAATTGATGGAAACTAGCATTTTCTGCCATTACAACAGTTAGCACGCACTGGGAATATAAATGGGCCAATACTCAATATTTTTGTGAAATACTCAATATTTCACACACAAAAAAGTGATCAGGTAAGAAAGTTTAAATTGGTCCTTTCATTGTTTACTTTTCATTGTTTGCTCCAACATTGTTGCTATTCTCATATAGAGGATACTCAGTAGATGGTAACTATTATTGAAACACGGTTCTTTTTGTTCAAGAAGTTTAAAATACTTGTGGTGAAAGAAACTAACAAAGTGCAAAAGGAAGCACACTCACACACATAATCACATAGTGCAGACACACACACAGGCACAGTCAATATGCACAAAGTGTGTGATATATCCTAAGTGTTCCTGGGATGAGATGATACAATGTGTCCTGGAAAGAAAGGTTTCTGCAAGACCTTGATCTTTATTTAGGACTAACAGAGAATGCTTTGGCTGCCCAAAGAATAAAGGGGCAGATAATTCAAATGGGAGTGTTAACATGAGTAGAGCTGCAACAGTGAACCCAATAGCAGAAAATAATGGACTTAGAGCACAGAATACTTGTTAAGGAGAAGTGGAGGTGGAGGTAAAAGGAATGCGTGGGTATAGCAGCTTTGATACTCCCACAAGTACCTGTTGGCAGAGCTTTTGCATATTTCTACATAAATTATGCAACCATTTGTGTTCATTCTGGGCACCAGATGAAGAAAAACAATTTATCAAACATCTAAATGTATGAGAAGATTCCTTATGTCTTTTAACCAATGGAGCCCGCTGTCCCTTACTATGCAAATGACTTTGCATACAGTAATCTCACCCAAATTCTTCAAGCAAAACATTCCCATCTCCTATTTTGGAAGACTTAAATATCTTCAAAAAAGCATTCTGAGATGAAGAAAAAGGTTGTAGGGGTTTCTGAGATTAAGCCCAGATTCTTCAATGCCTTGCCCAGCAGTTTGTCAGATCAAACATGTTGTGCAAAGGAAAACTTCTCAAGATCTGGTTGGAGCAACTGGTTTTGTAGAGGAAGAGAACAGGAATAACTCCCACACTCAATGACAAAAATAGTTAGTTCAATTCTCTCAGTCCTCTTTTTGCTCATTCTGCCAAAATCAAGAAGCTCCAAGAAATACATCTTAAAAAACACAGAGAAATCTTTTTTTCTCTCTTGCTTCTTTACATTTCAAGTAGAATTCCATGTTTTCTTTTGCTAAGTAATGAAAGTGCTACACCCAAACATGGATAAATCTAACTTAATATTTTTGGTCATTAAAACTGGAAACTGGGGCCGGGCGTGGTGGCTCACACCTATAATCCTAGCACTCTGAGAAGCTGAGGCGGGTAGATCATTTGAGCTCAGGAGTTTGAGACCAGCCCGAGCAAGAGGGAGACCCTGTCTCTACTAAAAATAGAAAGAAATTACTCGGACAGCTAAAAATATACAGAAAAAAAATTAGCCGGGCATGGTGGTGCATGCCTGTAGTCCCAGCTACTTGGGAGGCTGAGGCAGAAGGATCTCTTGAGCCCAGGAGTTTGAGGTTGCTGTGAACTAGGCTGACGCCACGGGACTCTAGCCCAGGCAACAGGGCAACAGAGTGAGACTCTGTCTCAAAAAACAAAAACAAAAACAAAAACACCCACAAAAAACTGGAAACAGGAGAACAAAATCTAAACACTTACAAACTTTGGTGTCACGCTTGTATCTCCTATCAATATTTGCCTACATTACTTTTTTAAAATTTCCACTAAAGGTGGTCAAATTCTTTCCTCAATGGATCATATATTTTCCCAGGCAAGACCTCAAAGTTCTTTCCCACAAGACCTCAAAGTTCTTTCCCACTAAGAAAGGCAAAAATGAAATGTCAAACATTAAGGAATCTCAAATAAGAAATTATGTTTCTCTGCTGCAGATCAAGTCTGCAGCAGAGAAATGAAATCAAGTCATATGACACATTGCATTCTACCTGTTATTTTGATTGACATGAATTATGGCCCATATCTTCTTCTTTTCCTGGTTTAAGGGCAATTTTATTATGACATTTTTTTATTTGTATACATTTAAGGGATACAATTACAATGTTGTTACGTGGATATATTACATAGTACAGGTGTTAAAGTAAACAACTCTCAAGCAGAAGCTGACTAGAGAGGCTGACAACCACAGGAAGTACTGGCTTCAACGGGCTTATCTCTGTCACCTTACATGAACTTTGGCTAATTACAACATCATTTACATTGCACTTGAAAAATTTCTCTACTCTTAAAATCACTATGACAGTTCCAAGATAATCATATAAAGTGTGAAAAGTTGTCAAAAGAGGAAAATCTATGCTGGGAATGTCTTATTAACTTAGGATTTTTTTTCTTGAGCATAGTTACCAGAATAGTTTCTTGATCCTGGCAATTTGCCAAGTCACTGGCTACGTTTGCCATTTAGCCTACTTTGAATTTACCATCACATGTTCTGTCAAAGCCAATATGTAAGCTTGTTTTTCCCCAAATCCTTTTCATTACACAGGAAACTACCATCACATACAAATATACTTGCAAGAAATTAAACATTGCTTCTTAGCCAAAGATTTCAGAGTAAGAGAGAGACATACTAAAAGTTGTTTGACTCACTGAATTCATTATAGTCAAACATCCCATCATAAAGGGTGATAAACATGATACATGATTGTGCTTTTATTTTTCGATAGCTTAGAATGCATTGATCTGCTGAGACATTTTAAGGATTTGAATTGCTCTGCCAATATTTATTTGAGATGTGACTAGAACCTACAAGTTTATTATGTAGCCAGGAAGAGTACAACAGGAACATTTATCGAGCTAAATATAATTGGCAGCAACTCAACCCACAAGAAACAGATAAAAATAAGTGAAAATAAACTATTAGTAACATGTGGGGGTTTTCTAGCTCACAAATGCAGTTGTATGTTTTCTTGATCTGAAAATACAATATTCTATAACTGAAAATTACACATACCAGTTCAGAAAGACAATATAAGTTTTCTAGAGCTAAACATTATGAAAATAATTGTGTAATGGAAAGAAATGATGTTTTATGCAATCTTTGGGTAGAAAAGACTTGGAGATATCTTCTAGGCATGTGATCCTCTTCTAAAAGTTATGAGACTGAAACTATATCTTTTAAAAAAAAACATGAAAGACTATTCCTTCAGTTGTTGATTTGTTCTTATGGTTTATATTACTGCAATATAATAATGATTTAACAGAACACCCAAAAAGGAACTCTATCATAAAGCACCATGAAATTCTAAGTCTGCTAGAAGAAATGGAACATGCCTTGAGGGTGGAAACAGATGTCAAGACCAATTGGCTGGGATGGAACTCATGCCTTCTGGGAAAATACAGTGCCATGATTTTTCTATGTCTGGAATTGGAAGAAATGAGTCTATGAGAAACAGCTTCCATCTCAACCAGACATGTAGAGGTAGTTTTCTGATTAATACTCAATACTGTGGTCCTCATCTAATTCTGTAGGAAGGAAAAATAAATGAAGGAAACTAGAGCACTGATCAAAGTTTTGCAAAACAGGGCATTCTGTAGAACCTCCAACCAGTCTTTAATGGTCAAGAGAGAGCATTGGTCTCATTATGGACCATTCTCTCCATTCTGAATGGCATAGAATTCCTGAATGATATTGCAACCTGAAGACCCTGAACTTCCCTGCAAACCATTTATCATGGTAGCTGCTGAGGCCCAGCTTCCCAACTGGTATGCATGTAATCAGTATATCCAGACCCATTTTCTCCCACTCACATTGAATAGTGATATTGTAGCAACAATGGCAACAAAAGATTCCTTACATAGTTATAGGGTGGTTATCTAAGAAGAATTATTACTGTTACTTGAAAGTTAGACGCCACTGGGAAAGATGGAAAAAGGAAATTATAAACCACCCCAAACATCCACCCCCATTCCACACTTAATTTAAACTCAAAGAGGGTTACTGTTGCAATTGTCCATTTGATTGGTGAGTGAACATAATTAAAATAACAACAATTAGAAGAGTTTTAATTTGAATCTCTGTATAACCTTGAATTCTGAGGCTTGGACAATACTTATTCCCATGGGTAGAGAGAATGTGTAAGTAGTTAAATTCATGAATTTGTTAGAGTGGGATACTAGGAGACAGGGCTTAGACAGGATACAGGGGCTTGAAAATTGAGTACAGGGGTTAAAGTAAACAACGCTCAAGCAGAAGCTGACTAGAGGGGCTGACAACCACAGGAAGTACTGGCTTCAACCGGCTTGTTGGCTATCTCTGTCACCTTACATGAACTTTGGCTAATTACAACATCATTTACATTGCACTTGAAAAATTTCTCCACCCCTAAAAACACCATGACAGTTCCAAGACAATCATATAAAGTGTGAAAATGGGAGGGAATCCGAATCTAGGAATCACTACCCAAATTATTAATAAAAGCCAACCCCTTGGCCTTGAATATTCCTCCCCTCAATTAGCAAAACCATGAAAGATCTAAAACCACTTCCTCCCAGAGTTTGTGAGCCTGCCTGCTCTCTTTTCTGGACAGTACTTTCACCTTTCACTTTCAGTAAAAAGCTGTCACTTACTTGCTTGGCTTATGTGGTTATATCCTGAAATTCTTTTGCTGACAATCACCAAGAACTTGGAAAAACCTGCACTTGGAAGCTTGTAACAAATTCATCTAAAGAGAAATGAAAATAAAAGAGCTTCCTATAAATAAAGTAAGTTTGGAAGCTTATGTTCTAGTTGGAGAAACAAAAAGCATGAAAACAAACATATCAACCACGACATTTCTAATTTCACTTAGGGCTATGAAAGAAATATATAAATATATAGAAAAAAATTGGAGGTAAAGGCCTAGAATGATTGAGAAATTTGAACTGTCTCAGTAATTTATATTTACTGGTTTGGCAGTTGGGCAGGACCAGAGATAATTTGCCTGATTTCTATTTGTGAAAATAAAGGGGAACAAAAGTGTTTATTGAGCAACTATTATTTGCCAGGCACTGTGTGTTATCTGACTTAAATCTCTATATTTAAGTGTATTACTAATATATTTGAGCCTCTTACTCATTTTATAGATGAGTAAGTGGCTCAACAAAATTAAATAACTTGTACAAGACAATAAATAATAGAGCTGGAATTTGCATTTAGGTCTATTTGATGCCAAAGTTCATCTCAGTGATCTGCTGCCTTTTTCCCTTTGAAAAGAGAGGAAAGGAAACATTGTCTTTAGTAATTCTTATTTTAGACCTACAAAAATGAGGATAATTTGGATTTACAGAAAAGTATATGTTTATACAGATATATATAAATTAACGGCCTCACTCTCTGGCAGCATAAAAACTTAGTTGAAAAAAAAATAGTCAACGAATTGTGTTATAAGGTTTACAAACTGTAGACTATGATTGTTCTTCCTACTGGGGCGCCCTTTCAAAAGACAAGTGATAAAACTTCTATTTTCAGGCAAGTTCCAAGGAGATAGTTATGAGATGAGTGCTGGGTTGGTTTATGTTAAAGTTCACTCTTTTAAACAATTCTTTCTTTATTGAGGAGACAAGTAATATATATAGTCCCAGAGGCTTCCTTTTCTTTCTTTCTTTTTTCTTTTTACCTAATGTATCATATTTTAATTTAACTGTTTAAATCCCTATGGTTGAAAAACCAAATGTTGCTCTTTTTCTTAAGTAAACTATTCTGGAGGGATGCAATATTAATACCAATTAGAACTAACTAAAGATTATAATAACACTTTTTCATCAGCTACATTAGCCTAATTTTCCCCAGATATATCTATTTTAGTCTCCTTTACCAGGCATTTTATAATGTATATCTCCTCTCCTCTGGTCACATTCTTTTCCATGTGAGTTAATCCCATACACGACAGTAGGTTACAAAAACATCAAGAATGATAACTCCTATTGTGTGTCTACTAAGGCAAGCATATTATTACACATATTATCTTATTTAGGTCTCACCAAAAAGAAAAAAGAATACATAAAGGGCAACAAAATCTCTTCTCTTCTCGTGGTAGGTTTTAATTCTATTGTTTTATTTTTGAGACCACTAAATTTTAGAAAGTTTTAAAATTTTACATGATTTTCCCAAGAATACACAGCTAAAGTGTCATAAAATCAGAATTTACATCTACATGGCTTCAATCCTGTCAGTTTTCAATCATATTAAACTATCTTTCATATTTGTAAAATATCCATAATAATGTTTCCCTTGGACAGTTATGAAGATAATTAAGGTGTTTATAAAGTGGCTAGCTTGATGATGGAAAATGGGAGATGTTCAAAAAATGGTAAAACAATTTTGATAGCTAAACATGGGGAGAAGCTATTAATATATGAAACAAATATCTAAACATGTAGAACTTGCTTTGGAAATGAGTAAGGGTCAGAGGCTGGAGTAAATAGGAGTATGGTACAAAAACACCTGTACCATCTTAGAGAATTTATAGATTCTTATAAACAGACTATTCATAAAAATAAGGACATTGAAGATGCAGGGGTGAAGACATAAAAAGAATTGAGGAGTACAGTAGAAAATAGCTAAATTATCATAACAGAATAACTTGAAACTGCAGATCCTGACCCTTGGGATCTCAGCCCTCCCATGTACAGGTCTCCCCAACCAGAGAACTCCCTCAGCCTAACCCTCACCCTGCTCCCTGCCCTGGTCCCAGCCCCCTACTGCTCACTCTCCCTCTGCTCAAGTCCTGGGGGCTTAGGAGGAAGGCATCATGCGAGTACATATCCCTTTTATTTAACACAATCTATAATCTGACCTGGCATGACCTCTACATTATTCTTTACTCTATCTCCAGAGAAGGAGACTGTTTGGTTTAATGCCCAGGCATATGGCAATAAAATCCATAGAAGTGCCCCTGCCCAGCCAGTGGGGCAATCTCTGTCCCTAAAAGAGGCCCATTATGGGATTATCAAGTAACTTTACTCCTCAATACACATTTTATCTCCCAGTCCGAGTCTGACATCAGGTGCAAGCTCCAAAAATTTAGGTCCTCAAACCCCACAATAAAATCTCCTAAACCTGGCCTTCAAGATCTATAGTCACCAAGGTGGGGAGAGGAGCAGGAAAAAGAGAGTGGGACTGACAACAGCTCCCCAAACAGAAAAAAGCTTTAAGGGGTTTCTCTCCAGAAAGTCACTCAAAAAGGCCACAGGCAGGTAGACAACAGGCCACACCCTTTTACAGAACTGAGCCGGGCCTCCACTACAACTCTGGGTACCTGCAGTAAAAATGTCCCAAGAGATGGCCTCCACCAGGACTGTGCCCCCTCTGACAAAAAAGGGCACTGGAAGAGCAAGAGTCTTTTTCTTAAAATGAGAAGATGACACCTGTGTTCTGGACCTGGCTGCCCCTCCCTGAATGGGCAGCCTCCACACTCTCTGAAACTGCTTCAGTCTGACAGTCTGACGGGCACATCAAGCTTTGGAACAGACTGAACTTCGACACACAGGGATGGCCGAGCCTTAGGTGACTCCCTGGCGCAGCTGAACCTTCATCTCTCTGGACTCAGACCTACAGGCCCTCCAGAACCTGCTTCCACCCACGGTGAGCTCCCTGAAAGTCCAGCCCACCATGGATACCAGACTCTGATAACATGCTGAGGTATATGCATGGCTCCTTATCCTGCTTGGCCTCCTCTGTGTACTTCTCGTGTCTCTGCAGTGGAACCCCATCCTGCCTCTATTCTAACTTCAAGACCATCCATTTTCAAATCTCCCCCATTTAATGATTTAAATGAGCTCCACAAAAAGATCTCTATGCCCCTTCTTAGCAGGAAGCAGCTACAGAAGAAAAAAATCTCTGCCCATTTTCCTAACTTCTGAGTTCCACAAAAAGATCTCTACGCCCCTTCTTAGCAGGAAGCAGCTACAGAAGAAAGAAAAAAAAAAAAAAAACTCTGCCCATTTTCCTAACTTCTGAGTTCATTTTAGTTAGAAATTTAATTTTAACAACAGAAAGGGGGGGGGCGCCCTCAATGTCAGGGCAGCCTTGAATCTCCTAATTTTCTAATAACAGCTAAAGATCAATCGTGAGCTCTCCCGACTCTCTTTGCCACTTCTCTCCCAAACTAGCAGCAACCTGCTGGGAAAGACGATGCCTGCTTCCCAATCTTTCTAATTTTTAATTTTTTTCCCCCTTTCTCATACTTTGCCCTTCCTTTTCTTACATGTATATAATAAAAAGGGTGGAATGTTAGCTTTAAAGAATTCACTCTCCCCAAACTTCCACCCAAACCTCCTATATAAAACCCACCCCTCTCCCCTTCCTGAGGGTGTATTAGGCGCCATAGCTTTTGCCAGAACTCTAGGGAGATACAGGGATGAAGTGCAAAAGGGGAACTTACTTTTTTTTTTTTTAATCCCTCACGGTTGTTTGAAGAGAATTTATTTACTCCTCCCAGAAAAATCCTCTATAAAATCCAAGGCTCTTCCCTTTTCTCTCATAGATGACTTTTTCACCCTGCACCCGGATGCTCAAAATAAACAGCATTTTGCTACACATGAGGCTCCATGTGTGTCTCTCTCAGCTCCAGACCTAACAGCTAAATTGTCTCTCCTCAGCCGCCAGCCGTGGGTCGGGGAGGGGGCGGGGAGAAGGAAGCAGTACTGCGCCTGCGCGTGGGGCTCAGGTCTGTGTGGCGGGAATTACCCTGAGGGAGCTGAGGGCCTGGTGCCCCGTCCACCGCAAGAGGCTTATCGGTCACTGGCGGTGGCCGTCTCTGGGCTGGTGTTAGTAGGTCTCTCCAGCCGCTCAGGAGCCCACCAACAACAGTACGAAATGCAAGGGGGGGAAACTTAACGGCTTCACCTACCCTTGGTGGTGGTCTCCAAGCCTCTCAGGGGCCTTTCTCCTTCCGGTTCTCCAGTGCAACTTCTTCCAGTGGAGTCTCCTGTAGTTTCAGGCACCTCATCTGAGGTATGTTTGCCTGTTTCTTTTCTTTTTCTCCACTTTCTTCCAAAATCTAGCTTTCTGGCAGAGACACTCTGGCTGGCGGTTTTTCTCGCCCACCATCTTGCCTCTCCTCCCCTGTCATTCGAGAACATTTTATAATGAAGTGTCATCATTTTGTCTATTGTCTAATGTATTGCTTTACAATAAAGTATCTGATGTATTGTCTTGCAATATTAAATGGCCCCAAATAAAATATCTTAAAGATTTACTATTTAATTTTTGTAACGGTTTAACAAATATTTTCATCTGTATCAGGTCAAACTTTGTTCTAGCGTCATTTTGCCTTGCTGTTGTCCTTTATTTTCCCCTTTGTAATTTAGAACTAATCTACAGGTATTTGAGTGGCTACAGTAGCTGAATGGCTAAAAATTTATCTAAAGTGTAAAATCAAATACAATTTTACAAGGAGTTTTTATTTGGCTAGAAAAAAATGATAAAATGTATAAAAATAAAAAAATAGGAGTGAATTTTAATAGAAATTTGTATATGGCTTTTTGGAGGTGGTCTGAATATCTTCATAGTTTAAAGCATTCTTGTCAATACTTTTTGAATTACACATCCCTAGCATTACATATTTGAAGCATAAACCCACAGTATATGTGAATTCTTAAATTTATATAGAATATAATTATATATTTAGAAAATAGAATACAATATATAGAATATAATTATATATTTATATAATCTTATATAGTGTATAACACTATATAAACTTATTATATTATGCATATTATATCTCATATAAGCACAATTTTTAAAGAAAGAAATACAAAAATTGAAATGAACTTCTTTCTTCTTTTCTTCTCCTACCCCTACAGGTCATTTTGTATACCTCTAGGGATGTGCACAACCAGTTTGAAGGTTGCTGTTTGCAACGCTTGGATGTATAGGCAAGTAGACATGACTTTGCTCCTGGATCCTTCTATACTAACCATTGTGACCTTTGACAAATCACATTGGTTTTTTGACAGGAAAAGAAAACAAAAGGCATTCTCATGTTTTCTTCTCCATCTTCTATGCCTTTTAGGTTCTTCTTAGCCAGCATGATCAGTAAGCCCTTTATTTATTTCTAAAGAGTATAGCCCTTTATTTTTTAGCAACATTTCTATAATAGCTTGCAATTATTCGGTGTTTTCCTTTTGTAGGAGTTCCATGAGTCCACTTATTGGCAGCAGAATGTTTTAGTGGAAAGAGAGATTGTTGGCTTCTCATACTTGAGTCTAAGAGATTTTGAGTTCTTTGTGTTTTGAAACTAGCACTTCCTTCTTGAATCTCCCACTCCCTCATGTACACACACCCACTCAGAGCAGGCAGGTGTAAAATTAGAAGGGACAGAAGTAATAAAAGCATGGAAAATATCAAATAACATTTCTAAAAATAATCCTTGTTACAGAAGCAGACCTTTTTGAAACCAGCAAGAGGGCGTCAAGTCCTCTCCAGACTGGATTTCTCAATTGTTCTTCATGGGTGCTGCGTTAATAGCAGACCAGAGCCTCACATTTCTCAATAACCCTCTGGTGTCACTCACCTACGATTTTATAAGATTGCCCAACATGAGATGTAAAGTTTCTTTTTATAGCCAAAATAAGTACATGTCTCCTCTACACTTCCGTCATTGCTTATTTCTTCCTCATGTTGCCACTATTTACTCCCGCCCAATATGCAAGGGCAGCCTTTGGTAAAGTTGTGAAATTTGTAAAAAAAAAAATATATATATATATATATTTTAGGTTCCTTCAGTTTCCAGTACTTCTTTACAGCAAGCTGATGAGATTTCTTGTAGAAAAATTATGAAGCTCATTTTCTGTATCTCCTAGTGATTAAAACTAGGATAGGGTGGGGAGAAGTTACTAGGAAAAGAGAATTTAAATCAGAAAGAGAAAAACCTGTTTAGTAACAGAATCTGTCCAAGAATAAGAAGTATTGACTGACTTAAGTAAGGTGAGAATGCAAAACAATTTCTGGTGACTACTTCTAAAGGTTCTGGGGAGTGTTTAGGTAGCACATGTGAATTGGAACCCAGGAAGTTAAAAGACACATATATTAAATTGTACTTATTATGAAAATAATGCATTCTCATTGAAATAAGTAAATTGAGATGTAGAAAAAAGACAAAAAAACACATAAATTTTTGTTATTCTGCTCCCTGAAACCAATTTACAGTGTATCACCCTATCCTTTTCTATGTCCATATAAACACATCTGACTACAGCAGCTAGAGGTCATTGTCAAATATTGTTCACTGATCTTGTGTTCAGCACTTTCCACTTCATGCAGAGTAGAGGGACTTGCCTTTCTTCTACAGCTGACCTCAGATCCTGCCTCTCATCCTTATTTCCTCTGTGTTAGCCACACTTGTCCTCAACGTCTTTCTCCAAACACACAAGGCTCCCTCCAGGGACATCCTGGAAGTGTTTGTTCTCTCTGCTTGGGTTCCTTTTTTTGTCTGATATTGATATAACTAATTCCTTCATTTCATCTTTATATTTTTGCTTAGATATCACTGTATCATTAACTTTTTGGTTTTTCTTACCCTTATTTCTTTGCCTCTTTTTTATATATAGGGATTCAAAACCTATATCACTGCTGCAGCCATCTTCCTAGAAACCTACTGCCTGCTTGCTTTTAATTCAGCAAATGGATAGGAGTTATGCAAGTATGAAAAGTTTATGCTCTTAAATCCTTTTGTATGGCAAACCCATTTCACTTGAGAAATCTCTTCCTTCTCTCCTCTTTTTATTTGGATTCTCAGCTTGCCATGTTTGCCGCACAGAACCCCTCTGATGCTTTGCCCTGGCCTTGCTGATTCTGGATTATGTTTTTCTCTACTTTTCTTCTTATCAAATGTATCTGTTTCTGTGGGAAATGTTTCCCAAATGGTAAATTCATCAGGGGGAAAAATAGAAGTCTGAAAAACTCACTTATTTCCTGAATAATCCAAAGGAATGCATTTCAAGTGGGGGGATTCAGACATGAAAAGCAGGCATTTTTCTTGCTTTCTATAAGGTATTTTCTGTACTTAGCAGCCAAGGAATAGAGAAAAAAAAAAACAAAAAAAAAAACACTGGTCTTGGAAAATATTTCTTCTTCTATTGGAGTCCAGGAAAATTCAAAAGAGTTTGGAATCCATTATGATTTATCAAATATCTGTTATCCGTTCTTAAAATACATGATGCATATAGATATGAAAGGTCAACAAGAAAATGGCTTTCCAGTCCTTAACTCCTTTGTAGTAGTTACCTTGTCATCCAGTTCCTGAAAGCGAGAAACCAGAGAGCGAAAGCAGTGTGTGCCCTGCTGACAGCTGCAGTGCCAAGATAACTGCAATTTCATAGGAAGAGACATGTTATAAGAATTTGCACAGTGATTGGAATTACATGAGTTAATCTTGATGCTGATGAGAGTGATATCTACCTAGAATTACATATTGCTGAGTTCCTTTTTGGTTCTTCCTCACATTTAAACATTTTAATTAATTTATTGAATATTTCTTTGCCAGATAAAAAACAGAGAGGAGCTGAGTTTTCTTTGACTCCTAGGATATCTCTATTATTTTTTCTGATAATGTTTATAGTTCTGTTGGCCTCCATCACAATAACACCTGCTCTTTTTTGGAGAAATGAAATAGAATGTCTAATAATAATAGGCTAAGGTCAATAATGCCTCCGAGAGAGGCAGAATTAGATGGGGAGTGGTCAGAGAATGTAGAATTTATAGATTTTTTTTTGAAATTAAGAAATAATATTTATTATTATTTTTTTCCAATGAAATGATAAAGCTAATACACTGATTTCCTAGTGTCAAGTAAGAATTTTTTTTTTTTAAAAAATGCATCAGTTATCCAATAAAACTGTCAAATTTTCCTGGTTTGCTAGTTCAAAGTGAATATGCATTCATTCATTGTCATGGGATTCTCTAACCATTCCCCCAATATTTATTTCACTGACATAATAAGCATTGACGTCAGTTCTCTTTCCTTGCCTCCGACTTTATTCACTCCGTGATGGTATCAAATTGTTTCCTGAATGAAAGAGAGAATCATAAATATTTTATTGTGGTCGAATCATTATGTCAAGTGCTTCCTGACCGTCTGTTTGAACTGTTTATTTTTTGCTTTTTAGTGGGACATGGTTTGGTAAGAGTGTGTGGAATGAATGAGATTTGGGGATGTTGACATTAGTCATACTATTTGGAATATTTTACATGTGAGTTTAATAGCACTTTGCCTTATTTTATTCCTGCAGGTTTAAGTAGAGTATATTACTTCTAATATATGGCAAAAATTTATTTAAATTAATACTTGTGAATTTTATTTTCACTTTGAATCTACATTAAAGTCTATTGGGCTAAAAGTTTTTTTGTTTCATAAGTACTTTGGGCAAAGGCCTACACTAGCTAATGAAGACTTCAACCGCTACTTACAATACCTTTGACCATGGTATCTCATTCCAAGAAACTTCAGTTCAGTTTCAGGAGAAACAAGTCTTTCAATATCTTGAAGCCCCCTAAAGGAATTATGCAGCCTTATGAATATATTAGCTAATATTTTAAAGTAAGTTTGCAATGTTTTATGATGATTCAGGGAATTTAAAATGCAAGTATTAAATAGTAGTCAGCATTTGTCTAAAATTAATGCTAATACTAGACCTCAATATGAAAGTCAAAGCAGCCAAAGTAGGATTGAAAATACTTGTAAAATATTCACAATAGTATAGTTAATAGCATAATTTCTGAATGTGCACATTTATTTTGAAATAATAATAATTATTAAAAAGTAATAATTATTATACTACTTTTTGAATAAAGCTTTCAGTTTTGTTAAATCATAGCGAATTCTGCAGTAATTTTTATTCAAACACATACATGTCTATGAATTAAATTGAATTTCTGTAAATTATAGTTTTAAGTTTATTGATCTAAACTTCAAAATTGATAATTAAATTAGAATTAATTTTCTTTTATTAACTATACTTAAATTAGTGATGTCCTGTTTGATGGAAAACCGGGATTTTTTACTGTTCAAAAGCAAAACATGAATATTTAGAGGTTATGCTTGCAGGGCTTATCAGTCATAAAATACAGTTTTATATTTTTTATAAAGTTAAGGATCAAAGCTCCAATCCACATCCGTCCAATAATATAGTTGAAAAATCAAAAGTCCAGGTTCCAACCTATAAAAGTAGGGCCCCATGCAACATCTTTAGAGATTCCTTAAATAAAATGACTTCATGACACTGGCAGAAATTGAAGTTTATAAAAAGTAAATTGAAATTCCAGTGTGATTATCCACTAGTATTATTCTCTGCTTGTCCCTCCAGATTCATTCTCTGCTTGCTTTCTACCTAAGGATCTTAACTGTAAGGTTAACCAGGTCTTTCCCTCTGGTTTCTGGCTGGGATCACCCAGTGAGAGTTACCAAGCAGAAGAGAGATTAGTCATATATGCCCCTTCCACTTTCCTGCTGGGCTGTCTTTAACCACAGCTTTTGCTGGGTAAGCTCTCTTCACTGTCTGTAACTCTCTCTAGATTCTACCAACACGATGTCCCCCCTCTCATTGGCAGGTTTAGGAAGTTTACAACTGGGCTTCCTACTGTTGGTGAGCCTCTCAGCGTTTTGCCATCCTTTATGATTCTATTAAACCTGCCCTTACATCAGCAAACATTCCCTCCATTGAATTTTCTTCAATTAACCCTTTGAGTTAATTGATTATGTTATCTGTTCCCTGCCAGAAGCCTGCCTGTTACACCTGGTTTGGTTTGGTCTTTCTCATTGTCTCCACCATATATATTGGCTAGTCCTTCTACTGAGCACCATTCTTTCTTATCAGTAGTGTACTAGTAATGATAATACCAGCAAAATAATACTAGCTTACTACATGCCAGAGTGAGTAATTAATGCATGCTAGAAAATCTGCCAGGTATTTTATCTGTGTTACCTCAGTAACATGCTCACAGCAATCCTATGAAGTACCTGTAATTGTTATTTCCACTTTACAGATGAAGTCAGTAACTTGGCTGAAGTCTGAGCCAGTAGGTTGCGAAGTGGAGCTTTAATCCAGGAACATGGATGGTAGAAACTGTAGTTTTAACTGCTTTAAAACTCAGGTGCCTAAATGGCAAAAGTGAGTGACAAAACAAGGAACTTTTTACCTTAACCTCTCTGAATTTAAGTATTTCTTTTATCTTAAAATTATGTACCTCAATGGCTAGAATATTATATCCAAAATACTAAAGTTGAAGGAAGAAGCACCTCTAGCCATAAATAAGATGTGTTATCCATGGATAATACATTGGCACCTTGGAAGCACAGAGTGACTGGTATATAAAATCTGAAGACGTATGCTCTTGGACAGGGAAGTTATCATAAAAAGGAGTATTTCTCATGTACACAAGGAGAACAGCAAGAAGACTCCAATTTGGAGAGTGTAGCTAAAGGCTATCAAATGGTTGTGGGGAATAGTGGGAAAGGACAGACGGACCAAGAAAGAATCCATCAATAGCAGCTCTTCAGGGTTTGAGAGCTTGGTTCCGAAGATATATCCCATCTGTTCTCCATGTTTGCCTAAGGCCCGGTTTTCTAATTTAAGCTTTCATTTTATTTTCCCAAATATTATACACAACAGTACGTGTGAGTTTAATGAAATACTGAAGCACTGAGTTCTGTAGAGAAATGGCCCTGTGAGATTTGAGTTATCATCATCAAGAATAACTTTTAACCTAAGAGTTTTAAAAGATATAATCAAAATAATACTCTACCTTGGGCTGGATTAGTATAGTCTTTTTAAAAGCTGCCTTGAAAGTCTCTATTTTTAATGTAAATTTTCCTTATTCATTTCATGCTTTCATTTTTCATTTACTTTTCTATTTTTTTTTTTTTGCCCTAGATTTACTTATTCTCTCTTCTTTTTTAGATTTTATATGCCTGAACCTCATCTGATGTTAGTTTCAGGAATCAGGGCTACCTATCAGTTGCACCCTTCACCGATGACAAGATGACAACAATAATAAGGACAAGAACACCTGCAGGTCATGTACTCCAAGGTGAGTAATGCTATCCCTTTTTGTGTTCCCCGCCTTTTATGTTCTCTCTACTTATCAGGAAACAATGTTTCTCATTCAATTTTAAAAGTCAACAGATTAGAATGGAAGTCAGACAAAAGCAAAGCTGTGCAATTGTCCAGTTCTAACTAACCTTTTATGATGAAGTCTTTGTGCCCCTTGGACAAGAGTATATTTAGAGTCTGAATTAAAAAATATGTGCCTTTACTAATATGGTTTCCCTCTGATGTAAACAGTATTGCTCCCTCAAACAGCAGTTCCATTAAAATAAATAGTAGCAGGATATATTTAAGAATATTTTTTTATGCTTTTACTATTAGAACAAAAAACAAAGAGCTGCCTAGGTAGTTCAAAAGCAGTGGGGCATCTGTTCTTACCAGTTAAACAGTTAAACCATCTCTTCAATCACTTGAAAAGAAAAATAATGATGTTAATTTTTAAGATATGTAGTCAAAAATGTTCAAATGAATAAAAACCTGCAAGTATCTAGTGTTAAGGAAAGTGGCATGACAGCCTAAAAGGGAGACGACTTTATTTTTCCCATCATGTTTTACCCTGACGTTTACCAAAAAAAAAAAAAAAAAAAGGTGATTTGGAGCAAATTGTAGATATGCTCTTTTGATTGTAATAGTTAGATGTTCATTTTAATGTACTTTAAAAAAATATTTAAATAACACATTGAACTTATGATTTTATTTAATATTATACTGAGGTTGTACTAAATAACTACGAGACAAAGAAATACATTTAAATTACATAAAATGATTTACTTTAGGAAAAAAGGTCAGTATAGATGACATTAACACATGGCAAAAGCAAATGCATGATTATATATGCATGTCTGAAATTTAGGAGCCATAGGTCTATTCTAAGCATTAGATATACATGGCCTCCTAATTTTAAGACAATGCAAACTTATTATGGGATCATATATTAAGATACTCTCAATTGAACACATGCCTTAAAGCCTCAACTGCATCGTTTTGCTTTAGTGTTTCATTTGTACGCAAAAAGTGATTTATTCTAGAAGAAAGCTGCTATTTTTTCATTTCTAAAAAAAATAAAAATAAAAGCTAAAAAATAGGAAATGCAAACATTTTGTTAAAAACACCACCACCAACAACAAATTTCCTTGATGGAATCAGTTTATACTCTGGCTTTGTCATCACATTATAAAATCACTCTTGCTTTTGTGAAGATGTTTTTCTAGTAGCTCAAAGATCTGACCTGGTTTATTTCAATAGGTCAGGCTTGATTTTGAACATCAAGGTCTGTCTTTCTGTCCATCGAAATGTTAGACTTCATTTTTTACTTGAGCAAAATGAAAATGAATGTGAAAGAAATTCTGAAAGAGATGAGCTGTAAGTTGTTCTTCGCTCTTTGAAGAAATAAAGGCAGTGTTTCACCATGGTTGAGGGGCATATGGCTGGTAAAATTCCAGGATACCAAATCACAAAGCAGAGATATTGGGGATTTTAGGTATTGATAGTATCTGGAGTGAAAAAACAGTTGGCAGCAAATGAAGAGGAAAGGAAAGAGGCAATCCTGTGACTAGTCACTTTTCCAAATAATTCCTGTGGCCACCCCTTCCTCACCCACCCTCATATAGAAAAATGGGGGAAAATGTGGACCACTGAACAGCTCATCTAAGCGTCTTTGACTAAAAACCCATAATGGAAATTTTATATAAAAGTATTATTCTATGAGATGATTTGTCTTTTCTTTTTTTTTAAAGAGGCCAAACATTCCCTTAAACCTTTCCCTGGAATCTTGGAGTTTGAATTCTTATCCTGGAATTAGGATGCATAGAGACTGATTAAAATGGAAAAAAATCTAAACAAACATTACCCAAACTTTGATTTTTTAAATGTCTTACCCAGATAGTTCCATTTTAGTACATTTCAATAAAATCCTGAGGAATACTAAAAGATCTTATATTATTAGTTGGCCTGAGATGAGTCTGTTTAATTTTAATTGTGTATATTAGCTGACATCAGAAATGGTCCCAAGAAATACTTGTGTTTAAATTTGTTTCTTAAAAGATACTTACACCTCCAGAATGACTTAAAAAATATTATCAGGTGTCCTTTGTTTTAAACTTTGAAAGATAGAATGACATTTTATAAATTTGTGATGTTAAGACCAATGCCTTTCAAAAACAAAAACAAGCCATGTCCTAGTTTCTATCAATGTTCTTTATTTCAATAATGATTAATTTTTCTAGCTTTAAAATTTCCTAACACATCCATAAAATACACTCTCTCATTATGAGTCATGTTATTACTGTGATTCAGGAAGTTTATTACAGAACTAGCTAAAGACACACAACATGCGATGAAATGATGTGCTGGTTTAAACAATTGGAGTTGGAAACAGTGGGTATAATAATTTGTTTTCCATAGGTAAACAGTAGTCTCTAGAGACAACATGATCGACACTTGAAAAGAGTAATCATTCTGAGAACTATAAAGACAGATAAGAGAACAAATTCCCTTTCTATTCATCCTTTCATCCTTTGGACGATCATTTTCCTAGCTTCTTGGAAAAATTATATCTTGGACACTGAAAAGGGGACTTAGGACATACAGAAACCAATTGGTTCAGACTGGAAAGTGATCTTAGATTTTTATTTTTTTAAAAATATTGAGTATTTAACTGTCCTGTGACTGTATAAAGAAGGATGTGTGAAACCCAGCTCCTAAAATAATGCCTGATGCCAGCATTTCTCCTGTATTCCCCTTCTCTCTTTACCTAATTCTCATGCCATTGTCTCTCTGATTTTCTTATTTGTACATCCCCTTCCACTTAGGATGTTTTTGCATCGTGCCTCTATTTTCTAAATTTCTCATTGCTATTCATCTTATAAAATCTCATTTTTGAGATTTACAAGAGAGAGAGAGAAGAGAGACTTCATTTCTATTCCTGGTTCATGTCCATAAATAAAACCTAAATCCTGAAACAAGGCAACAGACTGGGGTCCTATGATCACATGGCATGAGATTTCTGGCTGAACACCCACTTTGAAAGGGTGGGGGCTTTATTGATAGTACTTTGTAAATGTCATGCCCAGGTGCTTGTGGAGTAACCTCCATCACGAAGATTTCTGGGAAACACAGAGTGATTCACTTGATTTTCATTCTACAAGCAAATCAAATGACTGTGCCAAAACACAGATGAACCTGGGTTCTTTAGTGGTTATAAGGATTATGCACATGGCTTTCTGATTCCAACAATACTTTTCCATTTGTTTCCACTCGTTTTTACTATTTTTGCTGTGCCTTCAGCCTCTATATCCCACCATCCAGGTTAGGCAACCTAAAATAATATAGTGGAGTATGTTATTGCAAAGGAATTAGGATACTGGTAAGTTTATATTTAAATTTACTATCAAGTTCTTAGTGAATTTAAAAGTTGGCAGGCATCATACTCTGCTACTTGAATCTCTCATGAATGCTCCGTAAGTTATTGAAGTTTTTCACGAGTTACATAACAGCAGGACCTGAATGGATCATGACATAGAAAGCCAAGATTATAAAAACACTTTTCCAGGTTGTTTCATAAAACCACTCTCCCCACTAACTTCTCAGACTTATTGATTTTATCAATCTAGTCCTTCTATCTGTGTCTTTGTACCTACTTTCCCTGTCTGCAGCTTTTCCTTCCCAGTTTGAAATTCATTCCTTGGTTTATAAACTTTATGGCATGGCTAGACTTATCCTTGCCAAGCCTTCATTTTATCAATTTTTTTATCCACTGCAAGACCTTTTTATACATAAATGATGAAGGTATGCAATAAAACAATAATAATTATTATATTACTATAAGACTAGATGTGTGAGTTTTAGAAAACATATTCAGGTTCAATGGGTGGGGCAACATGGCTAATGTATTCCTAACCACTACTTCATAGTGTATTCTCAGTCCTGTTCATTTTAATTTGATTTTATTATTGTCTATCTGTATGATATGTATTATATATTAATTACCTATTATATTAGGTAACACTACTAATTGCCTACTCTGCTATTTAACACTAACATTTGTTGTTAAATAGCATAGTAAGTAATTAATGTTAATGTTTGCTTTTAATAAACATTAACACTGGCAGAGAGAAGGTTGCAAAATAGAATATAATCCAGATAGGCTGCAATAAATTTAAAAGTCTTAGAGAAATATATAAAGCAGCAGCAACTCCCAAATGCAAATCCTTATAGCATGCCTGTTCTGATTATTATATACTCTTCAAATTGGTAACTTGTTAAAAGGAATAATTCTGGGGGATTCTGATTCACAAAATTCAGAAGAGAAGGTATAGTCTAAAATATGTATTACTTAGAAGCTCCCAGGTTTATAATTATAATCATGTGAAGGAAATACTGGTCTCAATTAAAGGACAATGCCCAGGGCCTGGTTAGAAAATATACTAGTAGGTTTTAGTCATCCAGTGTTTAACATGAGAGTACTGGATGCCTGGGGAGGTAATGCCATGCAAAAAATAGGAAAAGATAAGCATTGACAAATTTCACCTGGTATATACTTTTCATATTGGTTGGTCTCATTGTGTTATGGTCGATTCTTTTTTTTTTCTTTTTGGCATACCTAGTTTCAGGGATAAAGTAAACTTACTTAAATTTTAGCTACTTAAAATAAGGATGCAAATAAGTCCATCACAACAGTCCTGGAAAATTATTCATTTATCATAAGAAAACGAGCTATCAAATGATCACATAAAATGGAATATTCTTTAAAGCACATTTAGCATATTATGTCCCAGCATCTCAGCACGTAATCTTAATGGAAAATGAAATCAGAGGGACACTTAGTAAACTGGAATAGCAGAAGCCTGTTTAATGGAACCAGAATAGGCATAAAGCCCATGGAATGAGACTCTCAAATGAATCATGCAAGGATGGACTCTGCTCATGTATGTTTCTAAGACTCGGTTTCTTGAGTGTTTCCAAGCTGAACATCTTTCTTTGTTT